AACATTGATGTCAAACGAATATGCATCCCATTTTTTTGTGTGAAATCTATGTCTTTTAGTTTCAAAACTGTGTGTTGGGGTCTTTCTTTCATGTATTGCATCTGGAGGATCTCGTTTCAATGACCAACAATAATCAGTCATCATGTTGATGTTACATCTTCCCTGATGCCTTGATGAAAACCTTTTCCTCTTGTTCTTCATTGACAGCACCAGGATTTTCAGGGAAATATGTCAATATGTGATTGTAAGAAATGAACTTCCAAGCTCATATTACAACTTAACTCTTTGAATTTATTGAGCATGTTGTTGACAATATTTTCATAATCTGAATCCTTGTTGTTTCCTAAAAATTTATCAATAACATCTTTAAAGGCAGTCCACACTTCTGTTTCAACTTTCTTCATTGTCCTTTCGAACTGTTCATCCAAAGTCAATTTCCTAATCTGAGGTACAACAAAAATCCCTTCTTTATGTTTCACTTCTGAAAGAGCTGGGAATTGCCCACATAGACACTTAAAACAGTCATCATCTTTGACTAAGGCCTTTACAAACTGCATCACCAAGCCCAGTTTTATGTGAAGTGGAGGTAATAGGACTTTCTACATGTCAATCAAACTTTCATGTTCAATGTTTTTCGATCCTGGTATCAGGCTGACTCTGTATGGCCACTGCTCTTCTATACAGTGCTAATTTCGTGCTCTGCTGTCCCATTCACACACAAAAAAACATGAAAACTTTGTATAACTGGATTATTGACCCAACAATATACAAAGGACTTTTAAGTCTCCACAAAGTAGCCAACCACATTCTTTGTACTTGACCTTATTAAGGAATAGGAACAGATGCATATATGTTACCATTGTGAAGGAGAACACCTTTTACACTTATTTTGGAGGAATCAATGAACAATCGCCTCTCACTTGGTTCATAGACTGCAGCTCCTAGCATTGGTATTAATTCAGCAATACTGTTGCAATAAACCAGTGAACCTTCTTGCGAAAAGTATAGTATGAACTCTTTCTCATGATTTCTGTACCAGTAAAATGATGTTCCTGGAGAAAGCAAGTTCTTAGCCCAAA